CTACTACTACTACTACTACTACTACTACTACTACTACTACTACTACTACTTCGACGACCCACCACCACCACCACCACCACCACCACCACCTACCACCTACCACCTTACACCCTACCACCCTACCACCTACCACCTACCACCTACCACCTACTACCTACTACCTACTACCTACTACCTACTACCTACTACCGACGACGACTGCGACTACGATTGCTCCCTGAGCAGATTGATCAGGGGGAGTGGACCTCATGAGTGGTATCTCATATCTTCTTGACCTTGTTGACCTACCATGTGGGGCGGGGGCTGTGTATTAATCAGGAGTTGACATTACTAGCGATGGCCTCGAACCTAGTAGCGATGGCCTGTCACGTTCGTCCACCTCCTGTTGGGATCCATGTTTGACTCTACAGTTTTGAAGTGCGTGCATCAACTGCATTTCCTCAAAGCAGTCCACCTACCTTGCAAAAATAAAAACAGCCTTGTATTTCCTGCGCGTGAACTTAAACTGTCCTAATCCAATGCATCCTCAGTAAACAAGGACGATACTAGGGGCTCCTGGCATCGCTACCAGGAGCAAGGACGCTACTAGGGGCTCCTCGCCTTACTACTAGGAGCAAGGACGCTACATGTTCGCTTTGGACACATTGCCCATGATGCCATGGCAAATTTATTGAGGCCGCCACCCGCCCTGGTACCGGTCGGTGTAGACCTGTTCGCACTCTACGTAGCAGCAGTCAGGGCAGTCAGGGCAAAGTTGAGGTGAGTGACCTGGTCACTGCATCACTTGTTCACATCATCAACAACTCTACAACCAAACAAACATCCGAAGCCTCATGCCACTTTCCTTCCACTTGGATCATATGCTTACAGTAGTTCTATGTAGTTGTGTCCTGTTTACTGCCAAAGGGGATGGAAGAGCTGAGAAGCAACCCTACAGTGAACCAAGTTCTGAGTACATGCTCCAGTAGAAAAGTGGATTGAGGGAGGTGTTTCTTGCAATGACACTTTTGTCTGATTGTGTTCTATTGGTACGCAATCAATAGCTTGCCGATGACTCCTGCATACCCCACGCGGCTTTTTGTCAGGAAGTCGAGGAACCATTTTTTGATCCCCATCCCCAAGACAAAGCTGGCAGTTCATTGTCCGCATCACCTCTGCTACCCCCAAAGCAGCAGAACCGGCAGCAAAAGCGGAGACAGCGACAGCATCCTCGCCGCAGCGTTGGAGTTCCAGGTGGCCTCAGGACTTTCGCAGTAGGGGTGTAGCTGAAAGCCATCCACAAAGCGGAAAGAATAGCCATAGATCTTCCGCTCCTCGGAGGCGAAGAACATCCTCCAGTCCATCTCACTAGCCTTTCGCACAGCCAGACCAGAGGCATGTGCCACATCCACCTGATGTTCGCAACCGAAATAGCAATTGACGTGACACGTTCGGATTTTGCCGGTCGAACGGCTAATGAAATCAAAGTGTGTTCCCTACTACACAATTGTATATATATATATAT